GATCCTCTCTGTTTCTATCTCTCATTAGAAAAGAACAGGTTTCTGAGAGATAACAACAAAACATGGTGGAAGAATTTAATATGATGAAGGAAAAGCCATCACATCAAAGTTGGACAAGGCGAGCCAAGAGAAGGAAAAGAGACCCAAGAGAAGGAAGAGTCATAAGAGCAAGTACAAGAATCAGGGACCCAGCTGTTTTCACACTCAGGAGCCCCGTAAGAACACTAAGCAAATAGTTATAATATATATGCAGCGGGCTTGGTACAAACCCATGCTGGCCCCGTGTTTCCAGCATCTGTCTCTGTGAGCTCATACATGCCCTGCTTAGTTAATTCAGAGGCCTTGTTCTCCTGGTGTCCTCCAGCCTCTCTGCCTCTTATACTCTTCCTGCCTCCTCTTCTTGGGGTCCCCTGAGCTTTGAGGAGAGGAATTTGGTGGAGACCTATTAGAATCTCTTTCTACGTAGTGTTTGGCCTTGGGTCTCTGCATCTGCTCCTATCTGCTGCCAGAGAAGCCTCTGATGATGACTAGATAAAGCACTGATCTGAGTATAGCAGAATATTATTAGGAGTCATCTTAATGGCTTTCTTCTTCTTCTTTTTTTCAGACCAGTAGTGCTTTGTTTTACCCTAGGTCTCTGAGTTCTCTAGTATCTGGATCTTAGTCACCCACACAATGTTGGGTATGGGTTTTGTCTCGTTGAGTGGGACTTAAGTCAAATCAGACAGTGGTTGGTTGCTCCCACAAGTTCTGTGCCACTGTCGCCCTAGGACATCTGGCAGGCAGGGCAGACTGTAGGTTTTTAAAAATCTGCTGACCCAGCCCCAGTTCTGGGGCCCAGCCCACCCTCTGGTTCTGTTTCCATGACTTTGCATGGTTGTTCTACCTGAGATGTTTCTCTTCCTCTTCTTTTTCCTTTCCTTTTCTTTCTTTGTTAACATGGCCAGGGATTGAACCCAGGGCCTCACAATTGTTCTGCCACAGAGCCACACCCCTATTGCCCTAATGAAAAGCATGGCCTTCTCTCTGCCATTTAATTCTTAGTTTAAAATGTCCTTTGCAGAAAGGTGTAGGCAGACTTTTCTGTCTCAGCAGTCGCTCCCTAATAACAACACAGAGACTTAATATTAATTACAATTGCTTGGCCGATAGCTTAAGCTTGTTTTTAGCTAGCTCTTATAACCCATTTCTATTCATCTACATGCTGCCCTAAGGCTCATTTACCTCATGTATGTACTTCCCATCCAGCTCTGCATCCCATGGTGTTTCCTCAGACTCCACCCTTCTTCTTCCCAGCACCCTCCTAGTCTGGCTCTCCTGCCCAGCTATAGGCCAGTCAGATCATTATTAACCAATGAGAGTAATACATATTCACAGTGTACAAAGATTGATCCACAGCAGACAGGCTTCTTCTAGGATCAACTCTCTTCTTTCTCCGTTTTGTGTGTCTCTTGCTAATTCTCGTGATAGTCACTAAGTTTTCAGTAGGCTCATATTATCCACACATAAAGCATGCTCTTGTTTTTGCCCAGCACAGAAACTAGAATCATAGGCTGTGACAGGATATGGCCCTCAGATGTGAGGAGAATGTCTCTTTGTGGGGAGATCACCCAAGTCCTAGTTGATGAAGACTTGAACTTCTTAATCTGACATGGACCTGTCTGTGATGGTTAGGGAGGGTTGGTTAGCAAGAGTGACCACTGTCCCATTACTACATCTACAATTTTGATGGTAAGTAGAATTATTCCTGGTTTAGTGAGAGTCCAAGCAGGTCCACCTTGAAAAGGAAAATTTCATCTGTCTCTTGCAAGTGCATGGAAATTCACAATCCTTAGTGGACAGTTAACCCTAGGGCCTCCACAAACAACGAGGACACGGACTGTTGGGACTCGCTTTCCAGATGCCAGACTGCAAACTCTTCAATCCTCTGGGGTCCAAGGGCACCCAGTTAAGCTTGGACTTCAGATAAACTATGAAGTTATTTGGAAGCAGGTCAAGCTGGCCTTGAACTTGTGATCTTCTTGCCTCAGCTTCCCAAGTGCTGGCATTGTAGGCATTAGCTGTCATGCTCTGCTCAAAAAATAGAATTTATCCCAATAATATATGAGACATTTAAATTTTTTGATATATGTTTTTAAAATAACATTATTAAACATTTCAGAATTTCCTACAATGTGTTTTGATCATCTTCCTTTCCCACCTCCTCCTAGACACACCCACTCCACTCTCACCTCCCTACCCACCCAACTTTGACTTCTCCTCTTGCTCCTCCTCACCTATGGAGTACAGTTTGTGTTGCCCAACTACTCCTGGGAGGAGATTCTGCCCCTAGAGTGCGGTCAACTGTCAGAGGTCAACCCGGTTAACAAAAACCCACACTCTCTTCCCCAAAGCTACCAAATATTCCTCAGCTAGTCGTGGGCTTTGTCTGATTTGAGCAGGCCTTGTGCATGCCATCAGAATTTCTGTGAGCTCCTGGGTGCAACTGCCCTGTGTGTCTGGAGAAGTCTCCTTGAAGTCAGCCACCACCTCTGACTCTTACAATCTTTCTGCCCTCTCATCCTCAAAGATCCCAGAGCCTTGCATGCAGGAGTGTGACATGCAAGTCACATTTAGGGTGAGCACTCCAAGGCCGAGGCATTTTTATAGTTAAAAAAAATTACATTAGACATATGACAAAAATACTTGTTTATGTGAAATGCAAGTTTACCTAGACACCCTGTAGTTTACTGGGCAATTTAAAAATGCGTGGCTTCCCTGGGGTAAAGTGTTGGAAGTGGAGACAAAGGCCACTAAGAGCTCTCTTTCTTTCTCTCTCTCTTTCTCTCCCTCACCCCCCCCACCCCGTGTGTATGTGTGTGTGTGTGTGTGTGTTTGTGTGTGTGTGTGTGTGTGTTTTCCCTAGAGGGTAGAATGAAGTTAGTTTCTTTCATGCCAAATAAGCAATCACAGACAACCCGTTAGGAATCCAGACCCATGACTATCATGAGACTCAAGATCAAGAATGAAAAAAAAAAAAAAATTAGATTAATAGCCAGAGAAGCCGTCTTCACACACACAGCCAGTCAGCACGCAGAGGCTGTCTCCTCGGGAAGGTAAGAGCACAGGATTTCAGAACAGGGTTTGGGGGACTTCTCTGTCCCTCCTCAGGGCTTTCTTGGATCTCAAGTGTCAGCAGAGATCCTCCCTGTGAAACTCGCATTTCATGTAAACAAGTGTAATTGTCTCACTTCTGGAGCTCAGTCCCTTAAATTCTCTCTCAGTCATCCAAGGTTGCCAAGAATAGCAATTTGGGGGTGGGGAGGGTTGTTGCTAGTGACAGGAACCCCTTTACACTAGATATAGTCTGTCAGCCAAAAGGACTTCTGCTGGCTTGAGTGGGGTGGGGTATCCTTGTCTTGTAACTGTTTTCCAAGGCTCTGAGCTTGAGGGAGATAAATACAATGAAAGAATTAATACAGAATTAACCCAGTCTCTTGTTTGTCAACATGGGCTTCACACCTACTTACCCGAAATGATCCGTGAGATCAACTGTAATTTATTTTCACACCAGGGAAGGGCAAATACACACAAAATGTCCCCTGTGGAAAGAAGCCCCACGGTATAATGCTCTCCCATTCTCTCTGTTCTTCAAAATGGAGCTAATTAATGTTCCATGGGGATGAACACTGTAAGAACCCCACAAATATAGCGAGGAGTAAAACTCCATCATTGCTTTTCAATAAGCTCACTTTAGTTATGACCACTGTAGTCCATAAGATTTTTGTTGGTTTTAGGCTTCGCCTCTCTCTCTCTCTCTCTCTGTGTGTGTGTGTGTGTGTGTGTGTGTGTGTGCGCGCGTGTTGGGTGTGGTGGCAGCACACCAGCACTTGGAAAGCAGAGGCTCATACAATACATCTTTATGAGTTCAAGGTCAGTCTAGTCTACATATTAAGTTCTACAACAGCCAGGGTAGTATAGCAAGACTCTGTCTAAAAAAAAAAAAAAAAATTTAATTCCTAGCCATTAGACTTGGATAGATAGAAATTGAATTACATGTTGAATGGGAGGAAAAACAAATTATTAGACGAAATGAGGCCCTGGCCTTTTTAGGTTTGTCTTGGGTGATGTGTACTTAGCCAAAAAGGCCAGGTTCCCTTGTTGAAAGACGGGTTTGGAAGACACACTGTCACTGGTGCACACACCTGGGAACATCTCACTGAGCACTGTAACCTTCCGCCTGGCCAGAGACAGACGGCAGTGGTGATTTTGGAGAAATGCAATGCATCTTCATTTTTGTTCTTTGAAACAGAGTTTCTCTATGTAGCCATGGTTATCCTGGAACTAGCTCTGTAAACCAGGCCGACCTCGGCCTCAGACTCACAGAGATCCTCCTGCCTCATTTTCCTGAGTACCAGGATTGAGAGTGTACACCATTACCTAACTCCTTTTATTTCTTGTAAAATGTATACTATAAAATGTGTAGGGGTGTGTGTGTGTGAATGTGTGTCACAGTGGACGTGTGGGGCTCAGAAGGCAATGAATGCCAACGAGTCATCTTCCACCTTTACCTGAAGTTCTGGGGGTCAATTCTTTGCCAGTTTGTGTAGCAAACATCTTTCCACACTGACTCTCCCCTTCAGCCCCACCTCTTGTTCTATTAACTGCTGCCCGTAGACCAGTAAAGCTAGAGAAAGAACAAATAAAATCCTCCCTGATTTTATCCTAGAGTCAGACTGAAGGCCTGGGGAGGCACACTCCTGGATGATGGCTCGGTTTTAAAGTGCTTTGTTTCGTTTCTATTTTCTTCTTGGAACTTAAATTTCCAGTAATTAGAAGGTGTCAGAAACCTAAGCTATTTCTAAAGCTCTTGGAATTAATGGCAGGAGGTGTGGACCTCCACAGAGAGGACCCAGAGGGTATGCTAGCTGACACCCATCCTGGGTACAGTCTCCCTGTGTCCCTGTGAGATGTGTGAGGATGTTTTGGACACACTAAACAATGCCCACGTTTCCTTCCTTTAGGTGTCCTGTGCTCTGAGTCCACACAATGCCACGAGAAGAGGCCCACTTTGGTTACCCCAGGAAGGACCACAGCCACTCTTATGTCACCACCGAAGAGTAAGTTAAAAAACAGACCTTCCGGGGTTTCCAGTTTGCCATTTGCAGATGAAGCCTGCTGACTCCCACCCACACATGCCAACCACTGCCACCAGGAGAGCTGCTGGCATTATAATGGTCTCACTCACACTTCTCTGGACCCAAACTGTCAGGAGGCAGAAGTGAGAAAAGTTAGATATTGCTATTTTTGTCTGCATTCTCGGGCCTTGGTTGTTGGTTTTCGAGCTGGGAAACCTCTATCCGGGACCTAGACACTTCCTTCCTCAAGCTAGCCCATCAGCTCCTCTCAGGACTCCTGCAGGAATGTTGTAGACAGAAAAGTGTTAAATTGCGAAAGAGTGAGCGTGGATGAGGGGCATGGATGTGGGTCTCAGCCTACATGCAGACTCCAGGCTGAAGACGGAGGCCATGACTTTTGCACCACAGTGCCATCCTACAGAAAGATGTTTGGGCTTCTGAGTTAATTAACGATAAGCATTTATGCGATTATTACTTCTAAGAACTAAGTACATGGTTTAGAGATACTGTTCGGTATCTCTGAAAAGGTCCAGAGTCCACTGGGAGAGTTAGGCAGGAAGTAACTCTAGGAATGCGAAGGGTGTGGTAGGGAGGGAACCCGAGCATGGAGTCCAACCTGGCTTTGATTTAGACCTGTAGTTCTCAACCTTCCTAATACACTTTAATACAGTTCCTCATGTTGTGGTGATCCCCAATCATAAATTTATTTCCCTTCTAATTCATAACTGTAGTTTTGCTACTCTTATGAATCATAAAATAAATATCTGATTTGCAGAATATCTGACATTCGATTGCCATGAAAGGGTCTTTAGACCTGGGGTCGATTTAGACCATCTTTAAGGCCATCTGTTCAGAACCCATGCAGACCTGCTTCCCTTGTAGAAAGAGCTTCTGGAAAAATCTTACATAGTGTCAAACAGCAAACAAGGTACAGATTCCATCCATGGAGTAAAGCTGGGGGAGGGGGCATTTCCCAGGGGATTTTTCATATCACAGCATAGCCAACCTAAGTGAAGATGGATGCCCTCATCTTTGGGTTTCCTCAACGGAAACTGAGAACCCAAGGGAAGGCTGTCTCTATGCTCCACATCATGACCCCCGTGTCTGCCTGCTGTGTTGCTGTATATGGTAAAAGGCTCAGAGGTGATGTTGGGATTTAAGTGCAGCTCTGTTTGCCCATGAAGCACTAAGCTGGTGAGCTAACAAAGGCAAATGTTTGCATAGTCCCATTCAAAGAGAGGAGGGGCCAGAGATCATCGAACTGAACTGCCAAGCTGGAAACTGGAGGCAGGCCTTGTCAGCTCAGTAGGCTGACACCATTGTGGTGTGCAGCCATCATTCCCAGCCTGGGAAGCGAATAGCAGCCCCACAGCCAATGCAAAGTTACTCCCTGGGTGTAGGAAGGAAGATGGACACCAATAAGTCATTTCACCTTCAGTATGAGGAACTGGGTAAACAGGCAGGGCTCTTGAAGAGACAAAGGCACAGAAGTAACACGGGGGGGGGGGGAGAGCAAAACTGCAGGATGCTGCTCACGAGCTGGACGAGAACATGGAAAAGCAGGGGTCATCAGAGTCTAAAATGGAGGGAGACCCCACAGAATGGGGCCCACATGACTGAAGGGGGATTTCTGTCGGCTGGTTCCTGTGTGCTCAGGCCTCTGGCCAGGGGGATCAGCTGGTAGCAGCATGGAGAGGCAGGCTCTGGGAGCGGCCAGGAGAGAGCTGGCAACTGAGCTGACTAGCAGTGTGATGAGGGACTATGGGTGATGCTGAACAGAGCAAATGTAAATGGGGCTCTTCTGGGACATTCTGCAGGGGCCTGCGGGCAAAGCAGAAGTAAGGTTTGCAGGGTTCAGTGGCAGCACCCCAGAGCAGGGAGAGTATAGACGGGTGGGTTTGGAGTTGGGGGCAACAGTGTACAAAAAGGGCACCTCTGACTTATTAGCCTCACGTTAAGCAACCTCTTCACTGAAGGCTCATTCTCTCTTACATCCTGAGTAAAGTGCTTATGCAAGGTCAGGGGAGCACGGAAAGGTCCTGGGTTCCAGTACAGAAGAAAAACAGCCACTCCATCTTCATGTGTGGGTGCCATCATGCCCATTGACATCACCAGAGGGCCCAGCACAGTGCAATGACACTTTTCACCTCAGTCCTTGAAGGAAGCAATCATCGGGTACCTGAAACACCATGGTACGTGATTGTGTGCAGGGCAGTAAGACCAATGAAGAGCACAAGAAAATCACCGCTCAAGGCCAGCAGCATCAGGACCTCACTCATCTGGCTGCCTATTCAAACTAGAGGGTGGGACTCATGGGAAGCAGAGGCGTCTGCATTGAAGTAATTCATCTCTGAGATTCGCAAGAGGATATTTTTCCTCCTTGGAAATTTGCCAGGGGTATAATGAGGAAGAAAGTTATGAAGGAATTCCCATAACCAGTCAAAAAGGGCTATCCACCTGCTGACAGCTCTGTCTGAAGCCTCAGTAGACAAGGGTTCAGTACACTTGAGTGGGGATAAGCCATCCAGGGAGCTAGCTTAAATGCAGATTCCTAGGTGCTGCCTCTACAAAGACTCAGTTTAGGCCAGACATGGGGCCCCAGGATCTCTACTTTAATTACACCTCAGGTGACTGAGGGACCCTGTGTCCTCAGTGGCTTCCTCTGGCTTATCTGGCATTCTTTGATGTTTTATACTTTCAGTCACTCGTGTGTATTCTAAGCACAATGTGACTGTGCACAAAGAGCTGGAACAGAGCTCTGTCTGTGCCAAGACACTCAAAGAGCGAGCAGAGGGGAACTTCAGAGCACAGCCTGCTGGGGGTTGTGTCAGCTGCCTTCAATCATAAGAGCCATCGAAACCTCCTTGAGTCAGCGTCATCTTAGAGATGGAATTTTTCTACTCCCAGTAAAGTGCTGGACAGTGGACCTGGGTCTCTGGCCTGAATCCTAGAGCTTCCCTGATGGCTGTCTAGTACTACTTACTCTGCTAGTTCTGCCATGTGTTGGCTGTACAGCCTTGAGCATTTTGGCAGCCTAATGTTGGTTGTAAAATGCACTATGTCTAGGTCAGAGGATGGCTGTGAAGATAAAATGAAACACGGGGTTGGACAGCACAATGCCGGGCACAGAATGGTGTAGAGGATGTTCCAGTGCCCAGGACCTGGGTGTTTGGGTCATGCAGTTGATAGCTCTACATGTAGGTTGGCCTACACGACTAGGGCAGAGCTTCCCTAGGAGAGACACCTCCCGGGTCTCTCCATCCCATCTAGAGTTGGACAGATAAAGCTTGATGCCCTGGCAGCCTTAAGATGAAGGTAGGTGGTAATGACACAATTCCCTCCTTCTCACACTTGCACCCTGCAGCCACTCAGTGTAATACACATCCCCCAGCTCGGCATTTCTTAGCAAGTTCAGTCTCAGACTGTGTCTATTCCTCAGTGTGGCTCACGCTGAGTATCAGGCAGATGTCAGCTGACTGGCAGTGGCGGGCAGAAACACACGCCTCTGTTCCAGGGGCCTTTGCAGCAACTGTAATGCTTCACAGGGAACTCTGGGCACAGGTCACAGAGGCTGGCCCAGAGCCCCGGAACAGCACGCTGATGCCCAGGACCAGATACACAGATAAGTGATGGTGGCTCACTGCACTAGGTTCAGCTCAGACTCTCCCCCCGGGCCTACAGGGTACCAGAGAGGAGTGCGGGGCAGGGATGGCCTCAGACTCAGACTCCAACTCTGCCTTGTGATAGCTCTGGATGGCAAGTCACTGGTCCTCTCAATTTCTTTCTTCCTCAGTGAAGTGGACATGATGATGGCTTCCTTGCTGTGGGGTCATGACAGCTGCTCATAGTCTGTGTTCATTTCTACTTCCCTTTTCTGGATCAAGTTGGAAAATTGCTTTGAAAGAGCTGTGTTGTGAAGAAAAGGCGATTCTACTTCAGGAAATAAACTGTCCCTTTTAGGCTCAGGTGCCAGGGCACCCTTTATGCTTGGGACTTAGGTGCTCCATACATAAAGGTTCCCAAACTAGGACCTGTCCTTAGATACTGGAGCTGGGAGTCTCATTGGGCACCCTGTGTAGAAAAGGGCAAACCATTTGGAGACCGGAAGATGGTTTTCTGAACCATGAAAAGGGAAAAGTTGTTGGTTGTTTCGTTGCCATCTGGAATGATGCTTCTGAGCTGTGTTGGACATGTTTATCTCTTGGTCCAGGGCTCTGGGGATTGGCATTCTGATTGTGGTCCTGGGAATTGCGCTGCTCTTTGGCTGCTGGTACTGTAGAAGACGAAGTGGATACCGAACCTTGAGGGTAATGGTCCCCGCAGGGTCCCATTCTTCCTCCGAACCTCTGGCGATGAGCATGCATTATATGCACGTCCCATGGTATGGGTGTGGAGGCTAGAAGACACCTTTTTTGGAGTTGTTTTTCTCCTTCCACCATATGGGGCTTGGGAGCAAACGCAGCTTGTTAGCCTGGGTAGCAAACATTTTTTTCTTCTCTGCTGTGCCATATCCCTGCTGAATTCCAAGTTCTTCTAACTGTCACACTAACTCTGTCGTACCATGACATCCAAGGTCTCCCTGATGATGATCACATCAGCATGAGAAAGCCACCTTCCCGCAGCATCAGGGTGTACCACTGAATATTATTCCTTTGGCCATTTGTTCATCTGTCTATAGGTCCTTAAGGAGCATATGCTTCCGTCAGCTATTTATCCATTGTCTATTGATCTTGTAAAGAGCATGTATGTGCAAACCTGTCATAATTCTAACATTAGAGGGTGGCCTTAAAAACCTGAACATGTGTGTAGGTTCCAAATGAAGTTTGGGCGTTTTGGGGCTAGCAAGGTACAGCAAGGTAGAAAAACATGTGATCTCAAAGGAAAACCAATTGCTAAATAGTAAAAACGTATCTTTAAAAGCGAAAGCCACTGGATGGGAGGGATGGCTCAGTGGTTAAGCGTACTGGCTGCTCTTCCCGAGGACCCAGGTTCAGTTCCCAGCATTCACACGGTGGAGACAGACATACATTTTGGCAAGACACACATAAACATAAAAGTACATAAATAAAATAGAAATTAAAACCACTATCTAGGGATGGTGGCGCCTGTATGTAATTTATACACTAAGGAAGGCTGAGGCAGAAGGGCAGAGTTCAGGTCACCACAAGATAATAAAGCACCCCTCCCAAACACATCACTTCAAAATTCAATTGTCATAGAATCATCAGACTACGTTGTCATAGAAATGGCAAAAGTATACTAAAAAACAAAGCACCGAACACAGGTGGGAACCCTCTGCGATTCTGATCCACACTTCTTATGGCTGCAGAAAAGCTTCTCTCTGTTCTCTCTGGAAGAAGGGAGACCCTAACAAAACTCCACCAGTACCAGCCACAGCTAGAGCTCCCTAGAAGACATTTGAGCTCCAAGTTCCAGCCCTGAGCCTAGGATGCTTCCCTGGCATGTCCACGCCTCAAGTCCCCAGGTTTGGACTCTACTCACATTCCTTTTCTCCTCCTTTCCTTCTTCTTTCTACATGGCTTCTCTATGTATCAGCCTTGGATGTCCTAGAACTCACCTTGTAGACCAGGCTGGCCTTGAACTCAGAGATACGCCTGCCTCTGCCTCCTGTGTGCTGGGACTAACCATGTGCGCCACCACAGCCCAGCCACACTCGTCTCCCAACCGAATGTTCTGTTTTTTCTAGGAAACCGGGTGCCATCTGTGTCTCTCTTTCCCTAATTGCCCTTTTTTGGCCAAGGGTCCAGAATGTAAACCAAACAGGCAAGGCACATTGGGACCCACACTTCACCAGAGTCTTCTGGTGAATTCACACTCAAGTATGGACAAGAAGACTACAAACAAACTGCAGGAAAACCCAAGATTGGCCTAAGTCTAGAATTCCTGCCCACAGGATACTGCCACTGTCCAGGCTGAGGGGAGAGATCCCGCCTTCCACCACCCTACTCCACCCGTACACCTCTGGCATGGAGTGATGAGACCTCAATTGGTTCTTTACTGTTTGGTTCTCTCATTTAACAGTCACATAAGAGTCACTTGGTTGTAGGGCATCATGATTTGGCTTTATTGTCCAACACTGACTTGCTTAGTGACCTTAGATATTAACTTTTCCAAACTTTATTGTCTCTACACCTAGTCATGACAAAGAATGACAGAAGACAATGTTTATTGATTTTTACTTAGCACGTCTTCATCTTTTGTATTTATTCTTATCTTAAATCGTATGTACGTTTGTGTCTATGTGTGGTTATGATTTAGAGAGTGCCCGTGTCCATAGAGGCCAGGGAGCAGTTGTCCCTGGGGTTACGGGCCACCAAATGCAGGTATAGGGAATTGAATGTAGGCCCTTTACGGTAGTAAATGCTTCTAATGGCAGGCATCTCTCTGGCCACCCCCACTCTCTACTACGAGTGTTTGCCTACATGGATGAAAGAACATCACATGCACACAGTACCCACAGAGGCCAAAAGGGGGCGTTGCGATTCCCCGAAACTGGAGTGATAGGTGATAGTGAGCCACTTAAGCCAGTGCTGGGAACAGAACCCAGTCCTTTGCAAGAGAAGCAAATGTTTCTAACTCCTGAGCCATCTCTCTAGCCCCATCTCATCCCCACCCCCAAATTGTTCATTTTGTAGATTGTCTTCCCCTTCTCTTCAAAACCTCCCAGTGAGGGACAGTTGGTACCAGGCACTGCCTTGGCACTGTCTTTAGTTAGTCCCAACAACTCTGAGAAGTGGGTTTAACCATCTTGCTACTACAGATCTAGCAAGGAGGATTCACAGATGTAAAGGGACTGGCCCTAGGAAACACAGCAAGTGACAGAAGGCAGTTAGTGTCCTTTGCTTTCTCTTTTCTCTAATGGACTCATTTCTCATTGGTTTACGTTTTCAATGACTACACTTCAGGACAAAAGGCTTCATGCTGGTACTCAGAATACCCCAAAGGGAAGAAGCCCTGGTGAGCAATGCTCATGTGACAGTCTTGCTCATGAGGAGAAAAGCCATCAGCCCGTGGTAGGTGGGAAACATCAGCTGCTTTCATCTCCAGTGAATGATGTGATTTTCATTGAAAAAACAATGTAAATATACTTAATGTCACTAAACTCTTCATTGGCCAATAATGGTCACAATTAGGGCTGGGACCACTCCTCAGTGAAGAGCACTTGCTTTGCATGCACGAGGGTCTAGATTGAACCCACATGACTGCCCCTCCCCCACAAAGGCCAAAATAACAATTGTTGTTTTGTATGTTTTATAATAAAAGCAAACAAAATGGGAAATAGGTTTTGTTAAGTTGCATCTTTTTATATTTAGATTTTACAGCCAATAATGAGAGTCCTATATGGGCAAGTGAGTTGCTTCAGTGGGTACCTGCTGTCAAACCTGACAACTTTGATCCCTGGGACCCATCTGGGAACCAATCCCCCAAATTATAATTATTCTCTAACATTCACATGCATGCCGTGGCACAGGTGCTGCCCCCATGAGCAAAGTATGTAAATAAGTAAAGTTAAACAAATGAAAAAAAAGAATTCTTTGGTTAGGTCTTAGAAATTCTGACATGAATAATCTAGACATAAATCCACTTTCAGATTTTTGGAAGCCTCTCATCTCTTATTTTCCCTTCCCACCAACATTTCAAAATATGCTTTTGTGAAATTTAACAATCACTCCATTAGACAAGAAATATGTATGAAGGTTTTGCAAACTGCGCTGCCCTATACCCCATCCCTCCCCACAACATACACACTGCTGACAAGCTCACTCTACCTGCCTCATCCTCACAGGTTCCCAATGCTCCACCTGCTTATGAGAAGCTCTCTTCGGACCAGTCGCCACCACCGCCACCACTGTACTCACCCTGAGCGCCAGCCAGCCAGCAACTGATGATTCCCCTCCCACTCTTGCTTTAAGGCTGGTAGACACCCATGTTTTTCTTTAGAATGCTACATAATGTGCACCTCTACTAACAGGCAGTGCTGAATTCTTGTTAGAGGAACACTGAGAAATAGAAAGCTGGTGAGAAATAGAAACCTTGCAAATGCTTCAATAAATACTTCAATGCATGTTATCTGTCTTGGAAGTAATGCTCTTAAACCATCATCGTCGAGGGGTAAACTCACATGGATGATCTGGGAGCATTTGATTTCTTTGTGAGAAGATTATTTTAAACTTTTTATTTATTCTGTGTCTTTCACATCACGCATCTCAATCCCATTCATTTCCCCACCCCTTGTATCTGCCCTTTGCCCTTGCAAGCCCCTTCCCCAATAAGATAAAATTTATTTTATTTTCAAATGACTTGACAGATTTACATGACCCCACCTGGATGGCATTGCCCTACATGTGGAATTGGGGTGGGGGGTGGGAGGGGAGGGTGGTCAGGGTACATGTGAGCGGGGAGAGAGGGTAAGAGGGAGGGAGAGGGAACTTGGATCGATATGTAAAATTAAAAAGTCAACCTCCCCCCCAAAAAGTCTCATCATAGAAGCTGTAGCATGACACAGTGAGTCGAGCAGTAAACCTTTTATCCATATATCTTTACTTGTCAGTGTTCATTACAAAAAGTCATTGGTCTGGTCTGAGGCCTCTGCTTCCTGCTACACCATCAATACTAGCCCCCCCCCCCCACAGGAGAGCCACTCTCTAGCTCCCCCTTTTTTTAATAATAAAAATTTATCTTAAGATAGTATTTATTTTGTGTATGTGTGTGTAGAGCTCAGTGAGCAACTTGCTCAAGCCTGTTCTTTCCTTTGATCATGTGGGACACAGGAATTGAACTAAGGTCTTCTGGTTTGGTGGCAAACACCCTTACCCACTGAGGCCTAAGCCTACTCTTTCTACTATTTCAAATTTTAGAGCAGAATGTTGTGATGAGGCTTAATATTTTAAGTTGAATGTATATATTGGTATCTTAATAAGGTAACGAAGCTCCAGTAAGTACAAAGCTACCTTTTATTTACAACGAGGCACATTCTCAAGCTCTACAAAGTCAAGCCCTGAGTCAAATTAACTGAGCAACAGAATTGGCTTCGTATTACAATTTGAGCAGTTGCTCTATAATCTGAGTGAAAGGAGAAAGAGCATTAATCATTTTGCTCACTTTTCATTTCAAATGACAAAGAAATTCATGTACTTAAACATAGTTTTGGAAAATCATTAACAATGAACCAAGACCTCAGTTTAAACAGAAATGTGAAGAAAGGTGAAGGGTAACACCACCACTTTGGATTACTTTTGCAACCTGTTATGAACCCAGATTATAACAAATTAAGTCTCCAGAGGCATGGCGGTACTTGTCTCTAATCCTGGTACACTCAGGAAGCTGAGGCAAGGCCATTCTGGGTTATATGGAAAGTTCCAGGCCTATTTAGGGGCATAGAGAAACCTAAAAAATAAAGAAGTTTTAAGGAACATGTTTTGGATGTGGAGACATAAACCAAATATTCTTATCTGAAAACAACACACGTTCTGGTCAATACAAATTTTTGTGTTTTTTTTTCCTCTATTTTTTTTTTTTAAATGTCTGGAACCATAAAATCTTGAATGAAAACTTCAAAACAAAAGTCAAGTACAACTACTGGGAGAGCGTGCGTGAAGCATCAGATTCATGCCCTTGCTCCACTCTCCACGAACCAGGTAAATTTGGACATGTCACTCAGCTCCCAAGATTACTGTGGAAATAAAATAAGATACATGAAAGGAAGCTTCATCAAGTATAAAGAGTGTGCAAGTGCTATTATTTCTATAAACTTCCCAATTTTAACACATTTTTAAAGGACTGTTTTCATTTATATCATGTACTCTTTCAATGGACAAGAACACATTTTAAAAACGGTATTCAAACACAGAAATACAGCAACTCAGTTTATTATATGCAGATTCTTCTGCATTGTTGCTAACAGTTCACTGGTCCAAAATTACTAAAATACTTAAAAAACTATACATTATGTAAACAAAACATAAATAAGACAGCATTGTTCTTTGTACATATATTTAGTACAGATTATTAGGAATTTAAGGAGTATGTACAATTTTACAACATGGACTGCAGTTTCTTAATGCATAAATATATATATGTATATATATATATATTCTTTTTACAGAAACAAAAATGAGATGTCACCAATGACACAGAATACTATACTGTAGATACACCACAACAGTCCAAATTTAAGAAAAAACATCAATATAATTATGAAAAGGCTAGCTTACTTAAACTAGTCAAACTTGAGTTTGTTCAATTTATGTTATATAGACAGGTAAATCTTGATGACATATTTTTGAACAAAGAACCTTGGAAAACATCTTCACACCAATGAGTAAAATGGTAGACATCCCCCCCACCAAGAAAACAAAGTCTTGTGCAAGTTAATGAAGATACATACACATACTCACACATATACCACATACTAATGAAGATACATAACACACACACACACACACACACACACAGCACACATCCTAATGAAGACATATACACACACTCCACACCACACATACTATTGAAGATACATATACACCCACTCACACACCACACATACTAATGAAGATACACACACACACACACACACACACACACACACACACACACACACACACACGTATGAACAGCATGTTTTCAACAGAATAATAAACAGTTAAATTTTTATGGGAGTTAAAACAATGCCCCATTATTTAAAAACTGGCTCATTTAGTCTAAATTCAAGATGCAGCTTTGTCAGGTTTCTCTGAACCAGATGACTGAAAAGCAGGGAAGACAGAGGCAGGATTTTGACTAGCAGATACAACAACTTGAGGAAGAGATGAAGACATTGAAGATACTTTAGATGCTGGAGTATTTATGGTATTTAAAATGGCTCCTTCTGGGCTAACCAGTAACTTTTTGACAGAGGTATCCAAATGAAATACCGATGTGCTACTTGGCAGTGGAGGATTATTGGAGGAAATGGCAGAAACCAAAGATGTCTTTGCCAAAAGAGTAGCTGGAGAGGACCTAATCACTGAAGTCAATGGCACCGTTGGTGCAGGTGGGACATAAACTTTAGCAGGTGTGTTTACCATCTGTGGTGTTGAATGTACTGCAGGGAAAGAACTTGGATTTCCAAGACAGTTTACAATCTTTGTAGAGTTTCTCACAGAATGCTTTAAAGGCGGGCCACTTAGAGAATGATTTGATGTCTGTATGATCTTCTGGACAGGATTATCTACTGGTGTCGTCGGTATACCTTGGGGATTGTTAAGAACTAAGGGAGGCCCATATTTTGGATTAGTAGAGATAAGGAGGACATGGCTCCCTGCTCCAAGACCCTGTGGTGGAACAATAAACCGGGCTCCATTCATCATGATTTGAGTACCTGGTGCCAAAGGTGTACTGGTATTGATAACTATTTTTTGCTGAATACAAGGTTCACTAAAGGAGGCACCTGCCAGACTAGTTATATTTAATGGTGGTGTACAAGTGTGAATGGTAGAGCCACCTGCAGCAGAATTACCAGAAGCTGTTTTTACTAACGAAGGGGACATAAGCTGGTTTGGCATAGAAGCAATGTTGGAAGTAGTAATTATTTTACTTGGACTTGGTGAGAGAGATGGTAATTCAGCTTGAGGTTTATTTGTGTTTGAATTTGTTGGCACTGTAGTTGAAGTCCCTGGGGACTGAAACTGTCTTTTGGAAAGAGATACAGGGCGTGTGGCTCCTGGTACTGTTGCTGAAGGTGGAACCGTGTTGATTATTTTTGGAGATGTAGTCACAGGTGCAGGTAGGGTGACAGTAACAGGGATTTGCAAAGCTGATGTCAAACATTTAGGAGACACAGTGGGTTGTGTAGTTGAAATGAGAACAGATGATGCAAGGTGTCCTGTTTTCACAGTTGATATAGCTACTGTGTTTCCAAGATTTGATGTGCAAAGTCTATTTGACAAAACAGGCATAATTCTTGAAGAGGTATCAGTTCCACTGACTAAAACAGGAGGTCGAGTCCCAGCTGAAGCAGAGGATGAGGTCACTGAAAGGGAACTCAAAGGTACATTTGCTCCTGTTCCTGAAAACATGTTTGTAGCTCTTGCTGCAGAAACCACTGACTCATTAACAGGAGGAAGATTCGGACTCACAATACTTGAGCTTGCTAGGACTGAGTTACCACTTGTTGACAAGGGTGAAACATAGCCCTTACTACTTTTGTCTTCTCCTTTTGGCATTATACTTTGCAATATATTAACTGATGATATAGCTGGCAGATTTCCTGGAGGGTTAATAATTGCTTGTCCTATGTTTAACCCAATTTTCACATCTTTAATCTGAGACACGGTTGGTGAAGAATTGATTTTTATTGGTGTTCCTAATGTAGACGGAATTAGTACTATTTGGGGTTGCTCTGGAGTCTTAACGTAAGTTTTATTCAAGGGAGAAGGAAGTGTCTGTTTTAATGATTCTGCAACAATAGCTGAGGCTGAAGTGCCACTAGGAACTGGAGCATTAATAAAAATGACTTTTTGGGTGGAAACACTCGTAGATGTTGGTGCTGGTGCCATATTAACTGAAGACGCAGTGCTGGAAGGAAGAGCCGACGGACTTGACACTAGCATGAGTTTCTGAACAGGAGTCTCACTGAGAACATCTCCATTTATTGCTTCCGATCTTGTAACTTGGTAACTTTTTGTGAAATAATCTACTTGTTGCGCTTTTGTGTGAATGACATTTGTATTGGTTTGCCCGAAATTCCCTGGTGATATGCTAATCACACTAACTGAACTATTTGTTGTTGATGGTAGCAGCGAGCTGGGAGAAATGGAGGGTTTCAAGGGTGAAGAGGGCTTGTGTGAGGTGTTTTCTGTCACGGGGTCCACACAGCCACTGCTGGAGGGTTGGCCTAACACGGGTTTGAGATTTTTCCCCATGGATGGATGAAAGCCACATGAAATAGAAACACAAGTAGGCGTTTGGCTGAAAGATGGGGGAGTAGATGTAGCAGTCATTCCAGCTCCTTGTGAAAAAGCAGGGGACGGTGTCGATTTTGGCACCAGAAATGCCTGAAGTTGAGGTGCGAAGGTGAAAGGGGAACTTGAAGATAAACTGCTGGGTGAATTTTGTTCTGGATTAGTTTGTACTTTGACAACTCCAGTGTTCCCACCTCGAGTCCTAACAAGAATTGACTGCTGAATCTCTGATACATACGGTTTTGAGTTCTTGCTTTGCCTCAGAGGAATCAACAGTTTGCTGGGAGAAACAGGTGAGGGAACTGCCAGGATCTGTGCATTCACTTAGTGTTGTTGCTGGTAACAGAGGCTGAACTGTTGAGGAAATGGTGGGTGAAGTAATAGGCTGGGGGAATGTGGCTGGTGAAACTGCACTCTTGCCTTTCCCTGCTTCGCAATGGCTAGTCTTAATGGGTGATGATAATGTATTACTTACAGAGGTTACAGGTGACAGGGGCTGTGATCTAGCACTCACATTTGATGAAGGAGCAATTGTCTTACTGAAAACTGTATTAAGCAGTTGGGTAGAAACTGTCCCTCCTGAGGTGACAGGAACAGACACTAAGGAACACTGCTCTGCACCCTTCTGCTGAGGTGCTGCTAGCTCTTTTGCAACTGCTTTTCCCCTCTTTGTGCTGAATCACAAAATTCTTAGGCAGAATAAGGACTTGCTGCATGATCTTTTCTCCTGTTTTAGAATCCACCACAGGCTGCATCTGAATCTTGACAGAACTACTATGAAGGTCTACTGGCAGCCACTGACCACAGGGCATTTTGTAAACCATCTGTAAAGGTCCTTTTGTACTGGTGAGGCAGCTCGATGCTGGCTTTATAGGGCTTGTTTCTGCAGGAGACTGAGCTGGCTTTTCCACAGCAGGAACACTTCTACCTGTGAAAGGGGGCAGTTGATTTGTTAAGGTCACTTTGTTCCCAATATTCTTTGCAAGCAAGGCCTGAATAGGTTTGGTCCCTTTCTGGAGAGTAGACACTGGTACTGAATCCTTTGAGGCAAATGACTCTGAAAATGGCAGTTCTGTATGCTTTGACTCACTCAAACAGTCAATCTGCATATCATCTTCCAAGTTCTCAACTGATGTTGTGCTTAGCTTTGCTTTCTTCCTTGGGGAAAGCTCCTTTGTGCTATCATCCAGATAACTGCTTTGTTTGGACTGTCGTTTAAGGGCTTTAGGCAGTGTCTTCACTACATCTTTAGAAGACAATTCTTTTTTCAACAACTTGTTTCTGGCCAAAGGATAGCCTATTTCTGATAATTTCATATCATCTGAAAATGATAAAAACAAGCATTTTGTTTACAGAACACAGTTTTTGAGTAACACCAATTATAAAAATTAAAGTCAATCTCTAAACAGGCAATTTAAAAAAGAATACTGTACAGTCTTCCTCTTCCCAAAGCTTCAGCAATGCTGACGAAGGTAGCAGTGGCCTCTGACATGCTGACTTCCCACATCTCAGCTTAAGAGCAACCCATTGCTGAGATCAGTCCCAGATTAAGACTGCTGCTAAGGTGTGAGTGTTAAGGAAAAACCCAGTTTCTAAAAAGATACTGAGTTTAATCTGGCGAGTTTTCTTTCTTTAGCTAGGGAACCCTTTACGCCATAGAGGAACGGTTACTATTCTATATTTTAGTCTTCAGAGACTGAAAATGAACACCAATGTTTAGCCTTTCTTTTCTTAATCCTTAAACAACTGTGGTCACATCTGGTCAAAAGAAGTTCACTCTTACAATTCTTATGAGATAGGAACTATGTTAACATATCACTAACTACAAGTTTTCAGATTAACTTCTTATGTAACTGAAGAACGCCATTGATGAGCTGAAATGACTCACATATAACTTGGTCTAGTTACCCATAATTTACTAGAGTGATATGTTTACTTAGCTCCCAGTCAGCCATCAACCTTGGTCACACCTCATTTTAAAAACCTTTCACAATCTTAATGATTTCTCAAATTCATTTACAACAAATTTTACCAACAGAACTTTAATAGTAGTAACAATAAAAAAGATAATCAGTGAATTCCAAATGGGTAACTGATTAGTAATATATGGTCTGCAACAGGCAATAGCACATATATAACTTAGGGTTAAGCACTGGCTTCAAAACTCTTAGAAATTTAATAATGACTGTCAAGAAATTGCTTATAAGAATATGGACAGTATTTCTGCAAATTATTGAATTTTCTCAAGCAACATTCACTAACCCGATTACCTTTTGCCTTCACAACAAACAGAAAGTTCTCTTTGTGCTTATATTTTAAAAGTTTGAATGCCTACCAGAATCCACGTGTTCTTTCTCCAGGTTGTCTAGAGGTTCTGCTGCATCTACAGACTTACTGATTTCTGCTGTAGGAGGATCTCTCTCAGGGTTCCCTTCACATTCTTCAGAAGTCCACAGTTCTCTAGTGAACTGACCATAATCAGGTTGTCTTCGGAAATCATCATAGTCTTTCTTCAGGCGGCTCCTGAAATAATCATTGTAATGTGGAACTTTTGGAAGCTAAATTAATTAGCATATTAAATTGAATCTTGAAATATTTTCAATTATCATTAAATTATGTTTAAAGTGTATCTAAGATGCCTTTAGTCTTGCCAATTATTAATTGCCCAAGAAGACAAAACTTATGATATATGCTTAAGAAATTAAAGGTTATATCTTAAAGCTGGGTGCTGCCTTTAATCCCAGCACTTGGGAGGCAGAGGCAGGTGGATTTCAGGAGTTCGAGGTCGGCCTGGTGTGCAAATCAAGTTCCAGGATAGCCAAGGCTGCACTGAGAAACCTGTCTCAGAAAAAAAAAAAAATGTGAATAAGAATTGAATATACCACCCATTTGTCTTTCTGAGGGTTGTCGTTAGTTAGAATTATTAAGAAAAGCAATAAATAACTAAAGTTTTCTATTTGAATTGAAAAATGAGTTGAGTCACTCACTAAGAGACTGGCCAGCAAGACCCAGGAATCTTCATGTCATATACATGCTTGGCTTAAAAAAAAAAAAAGCCATTAAAAAATTCCCCCCAAGACAGGGTTTCTCTAAGTAGCCCTGGCTGTCTTGTAACTCTCTGAGACTAGGCTGGTGTTGGATTGAAGTCTCAGCATTGCAAGCAAGCAGGCAGGCAAGCAAGGGGGCAGGCGGGCAAGCAAGCAAGCAAGCAACAGAAGCACAGAAAACATTCTGTCTCTTTAAAAACCTTTCAAAAACTTTTCAACTTGGTCCATGTAAATTCTTAAAAGATTAAGTCCTACCTGACCTGGCTACCTTGACTTCTGACTTTTATGTCCTACCTCAATCTACATCAATGATTTTTCTTTGATTATAACTGATTCTCACTCAGTGCTTCCTCTAAATGCCAAATACACGTATACACTTTTTTAAGTGTGCCCTTCCATTTCGTTTCCCCTCTAGCATGCGCCTCATTTCCTTTGTGAGTAGCCTCCACAGTCCCAAACAAGAATTTCACATCCTCCGCCAGGGCCCTCCCACTAGCAGTTACCACATTTGAGCGGGCATTCACTGAGAATGTTGTTTTGTATTTACTGTACTCAAAATGAATGGAAAAGCCCCAAATCATAAAAGAAGGGTCTCAGAATAAGCTAAATACACCATAAAGCTTATTACCTGTTTCTCTGAAAAGCCTTCATTAACTTTGGTTCCCATGGCAGCAATTCATTTAAAAGGCGTATCAGTGTACTATGCAATTCTTTTACAGCTTGCCTCCGATGGTACCATTTGCCCTAGAAACATAAGTTTTAAAAAATAAATTTCTAAGACTTAACCTAAAATCAGTATCAACCAAGTTTCAGCATCTAATTAAAAAGTAACAAAATGCCAATATCATCAAAAATATTTCTTCCACAGGAGTTTACAAGAGGAAATATCTTTTAGTATGTTTAGTGATCTCAACTCTACAGAAGAAATCCCAAAATGCTTATCATTTAAGTAGGAAATACATATTAAAAATAGTCTAGTTATGTCAGTTGTAAATATCTTAATAAATCATTTACCAAATGTATGTAGTCTTGGATTTGATGTCCAGTGCCAAGGCGGGGGGACCCCATGAACAAACAAACATAATCATGTAAAGGTACAAATATTTAAATACATTCACCAAATACATAAGCATAGTTCATGAAGAAAAGTTTTCTGTAACTTCTAAGAGAGGAAAAATAAGAATTCTTAACAAACTTCCTTAGGAGTTGTTACAATCATTTTAGCAGTTTCTGGCATAGAAAAGCAACTAAAACAGTTAATGTTGTTTTATTTTCTGTGTGGTGTTGTGTGTATGCGCATGTGCACAAGGATGTAGAGACCAGAGGACATTAGGACACCAGTCCTCCTGCTTCTATAGCAAGGAAACATCTGTAACACTGAGCTACCTTCCCAAGCCCAACCAACTGCTTTTTAAAACCTACTCACTACACTAACATTAATTATTACTGGTGTCCCTCCCATTTGCTGGTATTACAGGTACTGACTGTCTGTCTATCTAGAAATGACGTGTTAGCAATTTCTAGCACAGAGAAGCAACTAAATAGTTATAAAACGAGGAAATATCTTGTATCATATAATCCATATGTATTATTTCTAATGAAAGATAGAATTATATATTATTAGATCACATTTAACAGCCATAAAATCAGACTTCATCCTATAAACAACTGTTGAGTTAGTCTGCCCGTATGTAGAATAATAAGGCCACTATCTACAGCAAAATATATTCTAGAGTTGTACATGGAGTTGCCAATTTTTTATATACTCACACATACACATGCACACACATAAAACTTTTTGCTATTTTAAATGACAATTCTGTAATCCAGTCTCTTTTTTTTTCTGCTGGGTTTTCTTTTTTTTTGTGGACAGGGTTTCTCTATGTAGCTTTGTAGACCAGGCTGGCCTCGAACTCACAAGAGATCCTCCTGCCTCTGCCTCCAGAGTGCTGGGATTAAATGTGTGCACCACCATTGTCCAGCACCAAAGTCTTAATGGCATGCTTGACAAAAAGAGTACTCAGCAACCACAGAGTGTATATTTGCACAAACACAAAGAGCCATATTTCTTCTGAGGTTTCTGAATCTTAAAGAGGAACTGTTTATTAGAAGAGTAAGAAACGTAGGATTATATGCTATGAACACACCAAATATGAACCCTATGCTAATTCATGTCTTAAAAAAGATTATTTTTATGTGTTTGAGTGTTTGCCTACATGTATGTAAGTGTACCACATGTGTGTAATGCACACAAAGACTGAAGAGGGAGCTGAACCCTCTGAATTGCACACGTCCATGTGGGTGCTGGTAACTGAATCCAGGTCTTCTGCAAGAACAGCACATATTAACAACTGTGGTCATTTCTCCATCCTTAACTTGCATCTTAATAGAATGTCAGATCATGGTATTAAGGAAAGTTTTAAGAAAAACTCCCTTTCTCCCCCAAGGCAGAGTTTTTTTGTATAGCCCTGGCTGTCCTGGGACTCTCTTTAGACAAGGTTGGCCTTGAACTCTAAGATTCACCTGCCTCTGCCTCCTGAGCACCACTACCACCCAGCTTAAGGAAAATTTTTATTTCCTACCACATAGTAGTTCTAAAAGTTAGTTCCTCATGTGTGGTGACCCCCAGCCATAAAATTATTTTCATTACTCATAGTGTAAATGTTTGATGTGCAGATGGTCTTGGGTGACCCCTAAGGACTGTTTGACCCCTAAGGTGTCATGACACAGATCGAGAAACTGCTATAACATATTAAAGAGTCTTATTTCTTTTTAAATGACTTCTAGGAAAAGCACAAGTCAGACCAAAGTAAGCAGTGAGCTGTATCTCAAAATTTAAACTTTTTTCAAAAGAATTGATGAATCAGTATGAAGTGATTATTCTAATCCATGAAAGAAAACTATTAAATGAAATAAATAAGAAATAGTATTTATCCAGGGCAACCATACTTCTCTTGGTTTTCAGAGAGGATCTCACCATGTAACCTTTGACTTGTTACGCAGTTCAGGCTAGTCTAGAACTTTTGAGCTTCCTGCTTCAGTCTCCCATGTGTTGAGATTACAAGTGCCAATCACACACTCAGCAACTACTTGGTGGAAAAATGAAATTGTGAGAAAGCAGAACCCAATTTTACTTAAACTTCCTTATGCGAAGGAAGAAAGATGAAAGAATATTCTCTATGTGGTAGAATTCACTAGAAAAAGGATTATTCTTGAGAGAACTAGTGGGGACCAAAGGAGAAATGTGACACCTGTAGAACTAACCTTGCTTGCATAGTTGCTGAATGGATTAGTATAGCTATAATAGGATGGGGAATGCAAATGATGCCAGTTAGGTCTCTGTAGATGAGGAACAGGAAGGATATACGGTACACCTGGAAATCTTTATATCAGAACATTGCTGTACTGGTATCTGTGGTGATACTTTTGTTTATGATCTAATAAAGCTAGCCTGAAGATCAGAGTGCAAAGCCATAGAGGCCAGGCAGTGGTGGCACACACCTTTAATCCCAGCACCCGGAGATAGAGGCAGATGGATCCCTGTTAGTTCAAGGCTACCCTGAACTATACAAAATTGAATCAGTCTAAAAGAGAAACAGAGCTCACAAAGCTGATCTCAGCACTTGGGATCCCAAGCCTTTAATCCCAGCTCTAGAGAGGAATTTAAGGTGGGAGGAGACAAGTCCTCTGGGGTTTGGAGGAGCAGTGGAATCTGAGGCAGAGATAAGAGCTGGTGACTGGCTGCTCTTCTCTGATCTTCAGCTTGAACCCCAGTATCTGTCTCTGAGTTTTGATTACTAATAACAATTAGAGTTAGTGTTACAGATATCTCACTTAAATTACAACATTAATTTTTGCATAAGATTTTTAAAATAAGAAGATTTTACATTTAATTCTGATTAACTTTTGATTAATTAACATCTACAAATTATGCGACTGAACCAAAAGACTATATACAAGGGAACTCAAATGTTTAATCAGAGAACAGATTATAACTTTCATACAACTGCCTTTCCCATTAACCTGTTGAAATCTATGGTTGTCTATCATAGAAGATTAATAAAATATATAAAAGTATAAAAAATACAATGACTCCAGGAACCTTATACACTGCCACGGGATGCGAATCTATAGTCTTGAGGTGATTAAGAGGGCAGAATCATTGCTTGTATTGGTGTTTAAAGCAAGGCTTTTCACCCAACTACTCAGACTGGAAGGGAACTCATAGCTTTGTGTCATCTGGATAAAACATGAAGCTTACAATCCAGATGCAATTAACATAATGACATCTTGTGCCCCACACCACTGGTGCAAAGGACTGAATCCTGATCCCTGCACTCTATCACCAAACTAACTCCTTAACTAACACTTGTTGCTTTCTGCTGAGTAGTGACCTCATTTTCACAGAGGAGCCATTACAAGAACCATAAAAGTTATCAATTTTTAATAAGCAATTAAGAGTTAGTAACAATCTGCTTTACCTTTGGTCCAATATAAAAATTTACTTCAAATCAACAAATATTTATTGATGTTTAAACTAGCACCCCAAGCCAGAAATAGCTTTTCTAACTGATCAACTTTACTGATTATAATACAGATATGAGGAAAAACAATTTTTATATTTCTTCCAAGATGGATTTATTAAAATTTAAAAGCCATAATTTTCTAGAAGAAAGGTGTCTTAAAATCTCCTCAGGAATTTCTTGTAAAATGGAACTGACTTCAGACTAAACTTCTGGATCTCATGCATGTTTAAATTTACTCTCCTCAAACACCATGTTGTCTCTCTGGTCCTCAAAAAAGCCAATTCCTTAACAATTATAAATAAATAATATTGTGCAACTACTTATTCCTAAGTAAGTGCTAATAGGTTATATTGTGCAGACACCCTTGTAATGCTAAAAGTTACATAACTAACAATTGTGTTAATTTAAAGTAGAATAGTAATTAAAATAGTGACATATTTTAAAACAAAGGAAAACAACAATTGGCATGGTGGCACAAGCCTGTATTCCCAGCACTCTCAGATTTAGGGGTAAGAGGATTGCTGCAAGTTTGAGGTGAGCCTGGGCTACAGAGTGTATTTCCAGCGAAAATAAGAGCTAAAAAACCAGTACATTCGCTTGTTTTACTAATATAAAATCCTGTATTTTATTTTTAAGAATGTGTGTACTGATTACAGAGCTAAAAATCAAACTGGCAGATTGGTATTTGGGGCAACTAGTTAGGTGCTACAATGTGCTACAGCTATTTAATAAAACTTACTTGGTTTAATATTTAATATAAATTATGCACATAGCTCTTGGTTATTTTAAAACAAGTTAAGTGAATACAGGGAAATTTTAACCTTTTTTATCATCACGGATTCTGATCATTTTCAGGAATAAAACAATTTTAAAATAGAAACTAAACGCATTATATACATTTAGTATTATGAACATCAAAAGTTCACTTTAATGAAAATAGAGTAGTTCTAAAAAGGATTTATTTTATGTGTGTTTTGCCTGCACCATGTATGTATTTCTTAACAAGGAAGGCCAGAAGAGGGGTGTCAGACCCATGGAACTAGTTATGGTGACTGTGAAGTACCATGGGGATGCTGGGAATTGAACCTGGTCCTCTGCAAAAACAACTGCTCTTAACCACTGAGCCATCTTGCCAGCCCAAAGAGTAATATATATATATTTTAAAATTAACAGATTATAAACTTCAACATGAACAATGAATTTCAAGCATGCAACAGG